TTTCAATTCCATTTTCAATACTAGTAAAATCAAAAACATGTTTTAACAAAATAAAATGCAAAAATTACTTTGTATGATTAAATTCTGTTCTCACTGTATATTATGGTAATTCAAATATGTTTATTAACATAAATTAAAATAATTGTTAACATAAATTTTATTATTTCAAATATGTTTATTAACATAAATTAACATAATTGTTAACATAAATTTTATTATTTCAAATATGTTTATTAACATAAATTAACATAATTGTTAACATAAATTTTATTATTTCAAATATGTTTATTAACATAAATTAACATAATTGTTAACATAAATTTTATTATTTTGTTGATCCTCTCTTATTTTTTATCATTGCGCAGTTTCTCATACAATAAAATCAATTAATTTTTAATGTATTATATTTTTTTCAAGTGTATGTTATGGTTCCAATACTAATTAACCTTTTAAACAGTTGTTTTCAAACTATTTGTAAGCATTTTTGTGGTAATTTCTTTCTTCAATAAATCCCATATATTCTCTATAGAGTTTAAAAAAAGTTCCCTGACTAATCCAAAAGTTATATTTTTTGATGAGCCAACAAGTCTTCAATGGATTTTTCATTAGACTATATCTTTTTCAAATATATATATATATTTTTTGTTAATTAAAAGCTGCTCCAAAAGAAGGCCAAATTTAAAACTAAAGCTAAACTTGCAATATTTTTATAATCTAGGAGCGTGCCAAGTTAGAGTTATCAGAAAAAGCACGGGCAGAGGAAAGTAAACTTTACAAAGATCAAATTGATGGTTTGTATGAGGTAATAATAATAAGACATGGAAAAACTATTTCTTTTTGTTAGGGTGAATTGTCTTTAGTTGGTTATTTTTGATTAACTTTTAATTAATTTTATTTAATTAATTTTATCTAATTAACTTTTTAATTAATTTATCTAATTAATTGTTTAGTCTTGTAATTAAATATATAATTAAATATACGGTTTAATTTTTATTTTATTTTTTATTGTGCAGAATTTGACAAATCTGCTTAATGCTGGGCAATAAAAATAAGAGTTAAAAAAAGTTAATCATTTATAAATTAAAAAAAAAATAATCATTTATAAAATTATTGGATAATGATTATTTGATTGACAGCTTCTTTGTTGATGTTACAAAGAAGCTTTCTAATTTATTATTGTAATTTATATATTTTTTGTAATAGAGATATCTTAATGCATTAAGATGATATAATTTTCCATTAAGGTATTTCTTAATAAGATATTTCTTTTCCATTAAGATATTTCCATTAAGATATTTCTTTAGAATTATATTTTATAAAATTTAAAAATTTTTTTTTTTGCATTAAGACTTTTTTTTACCTTTATCCATTAAAAATTATTTTTTTTGTAATTTCAAGTTTTCATTGAACACATGAAATTTTACAGAAGCAGATTTTCTTTTGTTTGAATATTTTTTTATAGAAACTCAACAAACATGAAGAGCTATTGAAAAAGTCTCAGGTTATTTTTTATACTTTTGGTTTAATATGATTTTAAAAAAAATCAGATCGATCAAGGCACAAATTAGGTAATTGCAAATTACGTTATCTGGAAAAACTTCTGGTCTATAAGTTTTTAGATTTTTAAAAGCCGTAAATTTTGTTTATAGTTTTTACAAAATGTAATAATTATTATTTAATAAAATGATATCTATGCATTGATTTTGAAATTATGATATAAAATCTCATTATTAAACCTTAACATTATATTATACCCTTATATACATTATCACTGTTATTATAAAAAATTATGATTTCATTTTTAATTGTTTTATTGAATAATCATCAGATACAACTAGAAAAATGAAATACAATGTAATAATTTTTAATATTAAAAAAGAAAACATTGATCTAATATTTTAAGTAAAAGAAATGTTAATTACTTTTTTATTTATATCTTGTTTAACTGAGTTTAATTTTTTTTATATCTTGTTTAACTGTCTTATAAAACAAATCAAACTTAAATGCTTGTAAATCTCTCACAGAATATATGAATTGCTAACTTGAAAAAGGGGACATGTCCTGCAAAAAACATGTCCCCTTTTTCAACTTAAAGATTCATATATAAAATTAAATAGATAAAAATTAATGACAAAAAAAAACTTATTTAAACCACTTATAGTTATTTTAAAACAAAACAAAAAAATCTTATAGCATTTTTTTTAATTTTAAACATTTTTTTATCATTATCTTTTATATCAATAACAATTTGATTTAAAACATTTAGATCTTTAAATAATTCTTTAAAGTTTCCCCCAAACAAAAAAATTACCACTTTAATTTGGCTAATCAAAGTTTTGTTCGGGTATTAAATCTTTTTTCACATTTCAACGAAAGGTTGTAAACATTTATGCATGTTTACAAAAATCAGATTTTAGTGTTTCCTACAATGCTTTCTTATTGATTGTTTTTAAGTTACCCCGCATATTTTTTTTATCATCTATAATATTCAAAGAAATACCTATTTTTAAACCTCATATTTGTAATAATTTCTAAAATTTTCAGTAAAAGTTAGTGTTTTTGCTAGACTCATTTTAGTATTTTTGTTAGGCATTCTATTTGATTACAATTTATGGTATCATAATAATTATTTTGTCGTATCAAAATAATTAATATTTTACTTTTTTTTATTTGTTTATGGTACTTGAATTAACTGTTTATTTAATGTATGAAATGTTCATCTAAAACAATTAAGTTCCCAGCTAGCCAAACGGCTCGAGGCCCACACGGGACCCGCGTTGTTTTAAGTTTGGGTTTCGTACAAGAATCCCAGTCGGGACCCGCAAGGTTTTGTCCAGGGGACCCGCATGGGAACGTTTTTAGAAGGGTTCCAACCGGAAACCGTACGGGCACGTTTTTGGAAGGATTGATTGCAAAATAATTTAAATTTTTTGGAAATAAAACTATTTGTTAAGTTAATTCGTGTCTATAGAGACCTCTTTACGACTTGCACGACTACACGTATGAGTATCACCATACGGGAATTCTCGAATATCTTAGAAGATAGTAAATCTTATATATTTGATTTAATAGACGAATATTTTTTAAGTTCTAACTATATTTCTGATAATAACAAATCAGCATGATCTGATATAGATTTTTTTTTCCGGCTGTCTTGGCCTCGATCTCGGGCGTTAGCAAACCGTTTACGTAACTCAACCTCAATCTCTTTTTGGGTTGCATTAGCTGTCAATGCATTTCTTTTAACTGCACCTAAACAAAAACGAAAATAATTGTAAAAATTATTATAATTTATGTTTATGTAAAAATATCTAATTTTAAATATATTCAAATAAAAATAATTTATAAATTATACATGTAATGATTGTTATGTGAAAAGCATAACATACCACAGACTACATCAAATATTTCCAGATTCGAAAAGCATACTTTTCCAGCCTGCCCAGAAAGATTACACAGTCTTCCAAGATTATTAGATAGAATGAATTTCATCATTCTTTTAATGGCATCATCCAATGAGCTCCCACCAATATTGGACACAAAAAAGTATCATTGGATTTTTATAGTAAAAAACAAATAAATTGAATTAAATTAAGAAATGATTGTATTAGTTTTATGACCAAATGCTAGTCTAACACTGCACTCTGAGTCTACTGAACAAAATGGCGAGGGTGGATTTTGGTCAAGATATAATATAATAAAGGCAGTCTGAAGAGGCTTGGAAGATAAAAATACATTAAAATAAACCAATAAATAAAAATAAAAATTGTTCTTAGACAATGAAAAAAAAGTTACCCCTCACCAATATTCTCTTTATTGATCAATCTTTTAGCTGCTTCTCTAAATCATTAATATCTTTGATACTGGAAATGGGAAGGTCAATGCCTACAGGCAATTCATTATCTTTTTTCACCTGAGGTGTATTGATTTGTTGCATAATAGACTGCAACATTGCAGAATGAGTCTTTTAAGTTTCTTTAATTTCTTCAAGGGTTGTTATTAACCTCTCCAAAAAAACAGCTAAATCATTTTTTTTTAAATTGTTAAATGTAAATACAATAATACAAATTATCAAATTAATAAATACATAGGTTTAGCCACAGCTACTGTGTTCTGTCAGAATAAAGGTTAATTTAGCAAAGCACTTGCTGTGCAACAAATTATTATATTACTAAGTTTTATTAATTTTATTATTATTAATCTTTTTTAAATATTTTTTTAATATTCAAAAGTCATAATTATTTTAATATTCAAGAGTTATACAGTCAAAGGTTCAATAAACTAATTTTAATGAAGCCTTTAAAAAATTATTAATTAAAGAAATTTGCAACTTTAGAAAACTAGCTTACATGAGTTGATCAAACTTAACACATGAACTGGTGTTTCCAAGATAGTTTTTGATTGATTGGACAACACACCAGGGTGTAATATACCAGGCTGGCTATCAGATGTATTAGAATGTGGGTTGTTTAGATATTTTGACATATGCAACCCTGAGCTTGACTGTATTGCCATCAAGTGATCAGGTGGTGTTGGTTTAGTAATACTACAGATGTTTGTATTTCTGAAACAACGATTTGAAAACAAAATAGATAAAAATATAATAGGCTATATTAGATTTTCAAACTATTACTCCCAGGTCCACCTCACTCAAAAATTAAACTTTAAAGCCAATGTATACCTCCTATATTAATATGAATATAAACTTTAATAGCTTCTGGGTATTAAACTTTCATATTTACTTTAGCAATCATCTAATTAATACCCCTACAATTAGTTTTTCAGATTTTATAAGACACTTAACTATTCTACCTATCTTTCTATTAAAGAATATTCACACCTCTCTTCTATAAAAAACCTGAAAAAATCAGATAATATAAAGTAATAAAAATCAAAAAAATTTTTTTTTTTTATGATTTTAAAACTATTTTATTTATAATTTTTTTCATAAAATTATATAGATTATGCAAATAGAACTAATCTTACCCTGTTTCGCTTTCTTGAAAATTGTCTTCAACTTCATCATCGGCAACTTCACTTTCATAGATAAAAAATGTTTTCTTTTTCTGAAAAACAATAATGTTTTGAATTATAAAATAAAAATAAATTTAAAAAATTTTATTAATTGATTTTATTACTCATATATAATATTATTATTCATATATAATTTCATATCAATTAATTTAATATATACTATTCATATTCATATATACTCATATATATAGAAAATTTAAAAAATTTTATTAATTGATCTTATTATTTATGTATAATTTTATTATTCATATATAATTTCATATCAATTAATATAATATATACTATTCATATTTATATATACTCATATATAGAAAAATCAAGCTAAAAATGAAACCACAAAATATATTTTGAAAAGTAAAAGAAACTTTACTTGAATTCACAAACCTAATTTTTTGTGTTTCCATATCTCTACAATTACTAGAATCATCCGTATCATAATCAACATTTGATGTAACTTCAGCCTGCTTTGTTTTTTCTTTCGCACTTTTAAGAGTGTCTAGAACAAATTACTCATATTTTGTGTACACTGAAATGTATATTTAAATATTTTTAAACAACATTGGTATTGTGCTTTAAATAATTTTTCTTTTAATTTCTTGCATCTATGCACACTTTTAGCTGTAGAAAATATACACAGACAAAATATTTTGGGAACGAGAGAAAGAAGATATCTCCTTTCTACAATTACCAAAGCATTTTGTATATGACTAATTTAGAGTCCCAATAGGAACTTTCAATTTCATATTAAAAGAGAGACATGAATCTCTAAAAATTAAACAATACTTACTTGCAGTTCCTAGAATTCTTACTTCGTATAAATGCCAGTGTTCTTCTGCATTACTTCATATTTTTTTTGCGTTCAACACTTTGTTCGCTGCTTTTACTGGTGGATAGTAAAAACTTAATACAGTTTTATTTTTGATTAAATTTTTAACATCCCTGTTGAGTCGTTCAACCATCCACTTGATTGGCAGAAAATCAATCTCTTTAGTCTCAATATACTCGAGAATAGCATACATATTTAAATAGCAAACTAAATGCCAAAATTAAATAAACAATAATCATGTAATCAAATAATTGTAATCAAATAATAATCAAATGTAATCAAATAATCAAATGTAATCAAATAATAATCAAATGTAATCAAATGTCAAATGTCAAATGTAATCAAATGTCAAATAATCAAATGTAATCAAATGTAATCAAATAATCAAATGTAATCAAATAATAATCAAATGTAATCAAATAATAATCAAATCATGTAATCAAATAATCAAAGCAAATAATTTAAAATAATATCACATCTAAACATGTCAAAGTAGAAACTTTTTTGTATTTAGTTATTTATGGAATAATAAAATGTATGTAAAACATTCACATTGTAAACTATACTGTAAAACATTAAAATAACTTAAAAATAGTTTTATTAAAAATTATGAAAAATGCATTTGAGGTAAAGCGACAAATCCTTCTTTATATGGAAAAGTAGAAGATACTTCGTAACTAAACTAGCACCAGGAAAAGTTTGCCTTATGCCAGTAAGTTTGGTCACAAAAAACTTGAAAGCGAAATCGAACTAACTGGATCTGAAAAAAATAGTTCTACATCTTCAAATTCTTTAAACACAACTAAAGCTTTATTAGGTTCAGCGAAAGTGGAATTATGCAGAATATTTTTTACAATTCCTAACTTACTTTCAATTTTAAAACAATTATCTCCAATGGATGTAGAAACAAAATAATCAGTTCCATAGAATTGTTTGAACTGGATATATTTTTGGTATTCAATCGGTATAGGACCATCTAAATGAATTTTCTTCAAAATTGGATCTTTTTTTATTAGAAGTGTTTTCATTGATGTTGCAGTGCCCTTTGATAATTCAACGTCCCACTCAGCCAGTTGGATTCTGAGGTTTGCGAACTAATTTTTTTAATCTCCCAAGGTAACTTTCATATCTAAATGCTGATACGTTGCATACATCTCTCACATGAATTATAAGCAGAGTGAGGCTTAATACATTTAATAAAAGCCCTTGCTGGTGTATCACAAATTATAGCATCAATTTTCACTATGTAAGTTTTATTATTAAATAAAAAGCCATGTTGCTTTAAGCTTTTCATTTCTGAAACAAGGTCATTCAGATATTCATTAAGAGAAGGTTTTTTAGTGCTACTATATATAGCAATAGGAAAAGTTCCACCTGATGGGCACTCTTTTAGTGAACCAAGAATTGGCCAAAAAGAATTTTTTTGTTGCTTTAAGCTTTTCATTTCTGAAACAAGGTCATTCAGATATTCATTAAGAGAAGGTTTTTTAGTGCTACTATATATAGCAATAGGAAAAGTTCCACCTGATGGGCACTCTTTTAGTGAACCAAGAATTGACCAAAAAGAAATAGAATTGCTGTTAAAAAGTGGTCTACCGTCAATGTTAATATGAATATGTAAAAGATCAACTTGAGAAATAGGCAGATTAAATTTTAAAATGTTTTGTATCCAATACTGCACCCCAAAATAATATTCTCCACCTGCGACATGCTTGATATCAATATTTCGACGAGTATTTAAAAGGGTTCTTGAATCAATAGGAAGATCAGTGTGTAATGGAGTCAATATGTGTAATAAACCTCCTAAAGCTGAATGATATATACGATATGTTATTGCCCTATCTCGAATTTTATTTACTAGTGTACAGTCATCATTTTCATCATTATTATAATTATCATCACTTAGGGTGCTGTTAACTTCATCAGCTTCTAAATCACATCTACTATAATCAAAATTAACACTAGACTCAATATTATCAGAGAACATTTCTAAAAACTCTCTTTGAGATCTATCAAAAATAGTAAAAGGTTCATTTGGATTTTTGTGTTCGTTTGCATTATGATCAACACTTTTTTTACATTTACTAAAGCTTAACAAAGTACGTTTGAAACTCTTGATGTAATTCTTCTTCTTTTTGTTCTATCTGAACACGTCTTGAAATTAACGTTCCCATTAAATGCTGTTATTATAATTTATTTAATGCTTTCTGATAACAGCTATTGCTTAAATATTAAATATGTTATGAAATACGAATGTTTGTGTAATACAAAATAATGATTAATATATGATTCATATGTTAATCATTATTTTGTTTATTACCAAGTTCCATCAGATTAAATTATTAAATAATGATCTTACTATAATTACATTATAGTAAATATAATATAATTACATTATAGTAAGTACATATATGTACTTACACAATATATAGATTATGCAAAATAGTTTATATAAACCTTTCATATAAAACATATAAACGTTCATATAAAATATATAAACATTTCTTATAAGTAATTACATAGTCCATGTATATCTATGTCATAGATAAATCCATAAATTAAATTTCCAAATTTTTAATTTGTTGATATGAATAAATTTTGATGTATTTGTAATAATGGAAAGCGTGTATTTAATTTGTTTCACGATGGTTTGGGATATCAACACGGGACCCACACTAAAACCAACACAAAAACCTCGCTGAACCCAGGCTAAGTTACCCAGACTAGCCCAGATAAATACGGCGCGGGGCCTGAGCATCATGGTTTTCTGGGTTATGACTGTTATTACTTTTGCTGTTGTAAATTTATTGTTTTGTTTTTTCATAAATTGCAATATGATTTAAATTAATTAAATCATTCCATAAAAACAATATTTATTGTTTATTATTTTAAATAAAAATAAGAATTTGAAGACCACAAGTATTTCCAGGTATCACAATTCATTATTTCTTAATTTGCATCTTCTAGATAATTGATAGGTATGCCAAATATTATGTGAAATACATACATACATACATCCATACATACATACATACATACATACATACATACATACATACATACATACATACATACATACATACATTCTTACATACATACATACACATAAATATATTCATATATCAAGCAGAGTTAAAAAAAAATTAAAGCATCCCTTAAAAAGACTGTTGCTTGAACTTTAGATATAGACATCTGTTCCTGTATGAGTTAACTTTATTGGAAACATAAAATAAATACAAAACAATATCAGCTGTTTAAATCAACAAAAATAAATTAATATCAAAAAATTTAAAACCAAAAGATTATTTTAATCATTATAATTTCTATTTGATTTAATTAAATAAAATAAATTGATATAAATAAGCTATAATCAAATATTATCGATAACATCAGCTTGTTAGAAACCTTGTCAATTGTGTCAACAATGGAGTTTCACCCAACTCATCTTTGATTCTAATGTTACAAAAAATGCTGTTTAGACAAGTTTAGACTACTGTTGAAAGGTTGTGCATAGAATGTAATAGTTGTTGTTTTTAAAAATAAAAGACTACCAACAAAATATTGAAGACTTATGATAAGCCACTATGCCAACAAAGTCGATTTAAGAGGTTTACGTTTTTTATTGCGACTTTGTACAATATTAAAATAATTAAAATTAAAAAGCCTTTTTTAGGGAGCTTTAGTTTTTCAGGAGCTCTAATTTTTTTCAGGGGGATTTTTTAATCACTGCTATAGATAAGATATGATAACACACACATTGTAGATAACATTTGATAACACGCACATGTGCACACATATTACTGTTATTTTATTTTGAATATTTTAAATAATTATACTAGTATTTATATTTCTATATTTTTTACTTGTTGCTTATATCTACTTTCATTTGAGTTTATTTTTATAATTCAGCTTCATTCAGAGAATACATTGATAACTTTAAACAACCCTTCAACACCAGGTTATTATATTTTTATAAATAAATTTGCAGAATGATTAGGTATAAAGTTGTTCTGTAAACTATTTTATTTGTTTAAAAATTTCTGTAATTTTTATTTTGATAGTTTTATGGCATTTTTTAAATTCAACAAGTTTCAGCTACAACCAAATTTTGACATTTATAAATTTAACTGATCTCACAAGGTAATGAACTGCTAACTGCAAATAAGTAAAATAAAAAGTTTGTTGCAAACAAAAGATTGTTTTTAATAATTTAAAGATAATTAAATTTTTTAAGCTTACTCGTGTTGACAAAGGTATGTGAAACTAGTTTATATTGTTTGACTGAGACTAAAAATTAATTTTTGTTTTACAACCATACATTATTTATTTAAAACAACAGAAGGACCCAAAGGCCACTTATATTGCAGTATACATTAAAACAATGTAATAAATCTGTGTTAAGATCGATGCTAGTTTATGATCAAATTGCATTATATAAAACAACATCGTTGGACAAGACAGTTTTTAAACATTGATACAGATGATGTAGATACTACATTTTCCTGTAAACTATTTCATTAGTTGATCACACAACTTGAGAAGCAAAACTTTGTACTGTTAAGACTAAAACAGTGTTTGTAAAGTTTAAAAGCATGACCCCGAATACCTGTGTAAGAGGTGAATTTAAAAAGTCTATGATCACTTTACCATTAAAAATTTTGTAATATAAAACTAAATTGTTAACAACTCAACAATATTAAGCTAGATGTTTAATGTAGGACACTGACCAGCTGTTTTCTTAGTGAAGAACCGTTGAACTTTCTCATTTTTATTAATTTAGCAGGTATTATAAGGTGACCATACTGGAGAACAGTATTCTAACATAGGACATACATATGTACAGTAGGCTTTTACCATTAGTGATATATCTTTAGAATGAAAAGCTTTTAGAATTATATAGATCTCAACATAGCTTTATGTACAATAATATGAATATGCTGATCAAATTTCAGGTAACAATCAATTGTAACTCCAAGATCACGAATACAATTAACATGATCAAGTTCCTGGTTATTTATACTATAAACATGATTAGTTAAGTTTTGATTCTGGTCAGTAATGATGCAAACAAAGGATTTTTCCATTGATATCTGAAGTTGCAGAGTACAACACTAATCATATAAACGTATATTCCTAACTTAGTATGTGAAACCGAATCAAAGATTTCTTAAAATTAAAATAAACAATATCAGTAGGAATGTGGCACTAGAGATTGAAAGTCCAGTCATGAAGGCTTTCAAGAATGTTAGTGCAAGTACTGTGTTTATGAATAAAACTATGTTACTCTTTTGTGGTAATGTTTTGAGTAGAAGATAATTTATTAGCTCAATATTAATAATTCTTTTTATTACACGACAACAAGTAGATGTCAAGGAGATAGGTCTAAGGTCAGGCAAAAGTGTTGTAATTTTTTTTTTTTTATGAGTAGTTTTAAAAGTTTTATTTATACTAAACAAATAAACAAAATATTTTTTGTTATAAAAGTAACTGAAATTTTTACATTTTCATACAAAAGTGTTTTTGTCTGCTTTTTATGTAGTTTTTTTAATTATTTTTGAAATAGTTTAATGTGTTTAAATTGCTTTGTGTAGCAAAACATGTTTATGAAATCTCACTGCAAAATCATTTGCACTATATTTTGAAGCAAAAAGAAAATGTTTTGACTGTCAGTTAAACTGTTATCCTCTTTTAAACACTATGACCGATCATTTACTTTTTTAAACTTTTATTTTATTTTACTTTTATTTAAGTCATATTTGCACATAAGTTATATATAATCTAGACTGTACTAGAGTGTATATATCATGTATTTGTTTTATAATATATTTATTTTATAATGTATTTATTTTATAATATATTTTGTACAAAAAAGTTTAATTTAGAGAGCATTTTACTAAAACTAAATAAATGTGAAACTTTTTTAATTTTAGCAGCGGATAACATTTCTATAGAAAGTAAGTAAATTTTTTTCATAAATTATTTAATTTATTGCAAGATTTGAAGGAAATAATGAGGAAAAATGAGACGCAATTGTTATTAGATTTGAATGATTGGGGTTTATAGGATCATTCATATTATAAAATATTAGAATAAAAACATGAATCAATACTTATGAGAAGGAATTTGAACCAAGGTTCATTTGATGGAGTTAAAATCAAAAGCAAAAAAGTATTGTTAGAGAAATTAAAAATGAAATTAAGGTTTTTGTTTTATTTTTATCTATGATGTAGTGAACAATTTGATTTCAAGACCTCTCAAAGAGAGCATATTTTTGAAAGAACTTGAAATCTCTACAAATTTGTTACTTCATGAAGTACTCGTACTTATTAAAATTCATGTTGAGTTGTGAGTGAAATAGAAAAATGAAAAAAAAAATGTTTACTTGAATATTTTTATTTTATTAAATCTTGCTTTCATTAAGTTATTTGTATATTTTAATTTTATTAAGATGAAGTTTGTCTTTGGGTTTCTTGCAATTTAAAAGTGAATGGAATTCACAGAGTGAGCTTAAAGCCAGCATACAAAACAACTGATTGGAAAGACATTTTTTCCTTCTATGCTCCTTTAACACCAAAGGGAGAATTTAATAAACCAGTATATGTTTATTCTTGTGGAGGATCTCCGTTTTGGCGGCAGTACATTTCTTTTAGTGATAGCCCTCCTAACTCAAGTTATAAAAATGATTTGATATTTTATGTTGCTAATAACAAACTTGCAGGCACAATAAAATTATACATTCATTATGCAGGCAGTGCTAGTGTGGTGCATTCAATGATTTCTGAAAAAAAAAATGTTAAAAATTGGACGAATAAAGATGTCAGCTTTTATACCATTAAAACTGTTGTTTCTAAAAACTCCTTGAGTAACTCAGGGTTCACAGTAACTAACTTAAGTGACTCCGATGAAGTTTCAGTTTCTAGTATTGATGGTAACAATGAAGTCAAAGGAATGTTAGCGGTTGATCTTCAGAAGTAAGATATTTTGGTTCTTAAGAGATTTATTGATAAGTATACATTTAAAAAAAAAAGTATAATTTTATTACCATAACTGTTTAATATAAATATTTGTTAATATTAGAAGTAGAGAAAATCTACTTCAGGATGATTCTGAGAGCAATAAACAATCATATGATTCTGAATCAGAAGATCTGAGTCAACAACAGGAAGAAAAAGACGAATCAGTGCAAAGCAATGCTGAATATAATAAGTGAGTTTGATTTATTGCTATTTATTATTGTTTATTGCTAGTTGTTGTTTGTTCTTTTGTTTTGTTTTTTTATTTTTTTGTTGCTTTTTTTGTTTTGTTGTTATTGATGCTTCTTTTATTTTTTTCTTTGTTGTTCCATCTTTTGTTTTGTTGTTTTGTTTTTGTTTTTTTGTTGTTGTTGTTGCTTTTTTTTGTTGTTGATGTTGCTGTTGTTTGCTATTGATGTTGTTGTTTTTTTGTTGTTGTTGCCTTTTTTGTTTTGTTGTTATTGTTGCTTCTTTTGTTTTGTTACTGTTGATTTTTGTTTAGTTGATAAAGAGATTTTGGACAGGACATTTGGGAATCAATTTTTAGTCTTTAGTTTATATAACTTTATAATGCAAATAACATGAATTCTGCTAAATGTTATTTGTTGCTTTTTGCAGCACCTGTTGTTCGCGTTCAGTTTATGAGATATTTAACAAAAATCTTTAAGAAAAGTTTATTCTTTTATGTTTTGGTTATCTCTCTTAAAAAAGTTTGAACCTGATCAAAAAGGAACAAACACTTTGATATATTTAAGTATTGCCATTTAGCCCTAGCCACATTTTTTCAATTTCACTTTCTTGTTTAGGTTATGGTTATATGATTTATTGTTCGTGGGGTATATATAAAAAAATTATTTTAATAAAAGTTTTATTTTTTAAAAGTTATTTTTACTTTTAAATACATTTAAATTTTTAAATACATTTCAAGATTAAGAATGTTTATTTTGAAAGTATTTTGAGTAATAATAAAGTACTTTAAGCAATGTTGGTTTTTTGATACTCCTATGTTGTTGTTTTTCATATTCATTTTTATGAAACCTCAAAGCACATATTCTTTTTCTAGATTTTAGAAATTATTAAATTTCTAAAAAAGAACTTTAGACTTTAAGATTTCCAAAATTAAAACATAATTTAGCAAAGTATTTTACTGCTGATCATTAACTGGCCATTTAAAAAAAAAAAACTTAATCATTTACTGCTCACCATTTAAAAATAAAACTTAATCATTTACTGCTCACCATTTAAAAATAAAACTTAATTATTTACTGCTCACCATTTAAAAATAAAACTTAATCATTTACTGCTCACCATTTTAAAATAAAACTTAATTATTTACTGCTCACCATTTAAAAATAAAACTTAATCATTTATCTGAATATGTCAGTTAATCAACAACTTCTTTAACAAAAAGTTAATTGTTATATTAATATTAAATTTGAATTATATGTAATATTCTTAACAGATATTTATTTTTGTAAATTTATTTTTTTAAATTTATTTTTTTAAATTTTAGTGATTTAACATCATCTGGTTCTATTTTTGTAAGTTTTTAAATATTTTCATTTAACTATAATTTGTTTTATATTTTTTCATGATTTTTTATTTAATTTTTTAAATATAGAGTGGCGTTCAATCATTTAATAACTTATTGCAAAAAACAACCATTGATAGAGTTTCTAATTAAGTTGTTTGTTAAGATTGTTAAAAAGTTTTAAGTTATACCTGGTAAGAGTGAGGTACAAATATTTGTTAAAAGTTAGTGAGATAAAAGTACCTGATAATAACACCTGATAATAACACTAAGTCTGATAATAACACTAACATAACGCTCATAATCAATAACATTGATTATGAGTGAAATAAAAAAGCTTAAGTATAAAATGATTAACTTTGGGAGATAACTGAACAGATTTAAAAAACTACCCCATCATCAGCATTATTTTAGCAACCATGGTTGCATTGGTTTAGGATTTTTTGATATATACAATCTTGAGCTTTTTTTCTTTGCTAAAGTTTTGTGTTCTTTGCTAAAGTAGTGGTGTAGTGGTAGAGTGCTTGCTTCATAAGCAAGAAGTCTCGATCCCCACCACATCCCTTGTAGTACTGTCCTCAACTTGTTTCTCCACGCAGCGGCCTTGTTTATTAAGGTTCGTGTTTTGAAGTTAAAGAGTTGAGAGAGGGTTGTAGCCACAATAAAGTTGACCTTGACTGTAGTGGCCTTCTTTGTCCTTGAAGAGGTGAATGATATGAAAGAAAAAAAAAAAAGCTTTCTCCAAGGATTTCTACTTCTATCTCTATGTTTCTCCTGAATATGCTTTCTCTCTAGATTCTTGTAACCAATCATCCAAAACTTTATACCCTACGTGTCTAAACTACGTGTCTAAATATGTGCCTAAACGCTAACCTTCCCTGACACACCCAATAAATAAATCTAACTAAGCAAATATTTTTTTATACATTTTATATTAATTATTCAAACAACTTTCAATATTTAAAAATAGCAATTTTTAACATAATTATGTTAACACAATTAACATAATTATGTCAACATAATTAACATAATTATGTTAACACAATTAACATAATTATGTTACCACTTTGAGTTTGTGATTTGTTTATTTTTTATTTTTGATGTTTTGTTTTATTTTTTATATATATATATATATATATATATATATATTAATGTATATAAAATAACCCAAATAAATATCTTTAGAATACTACTCTTCCAGAAAAAGGAACTTATCAACCATATTCTCATAACCCATTAGCGATTGCTCGTTACAAACCAAACCAACAAGTATTGGATGCTCAGAGAAATGAGATTATAGATATATTAGAAGAAAATCTTGCTAAATATGGCATAGCTGAAGTAAAGATTGTTTTAATATTGATATCCTAAAGTTTATTTAATATAATATTCAGCCAAATAAAAATATTTTTTCTTTTCTTATAAAGCTTTATATTTTTTTACATTTTTTGTAAACAATAACAATAACAAAAAAAATTTTATTATTTATAAAATTTGGATACAGTTATATAAGTGGCACTCATTTGAACAGACTAGTTCTCACTTCTCTAGTTCTTCACTCAGATACAGACTACTGTATGAGTGATACCATCTTTATAAATCATTAATTTACTATTATAAATAATATCATACATCTAACTATTATTACAATATTTATTATTTGTTTAATTTTTTTGTTATTGTTGTAACTAATTATTGTTATAACTATGATTTGTATTAATTTTGATATTATGTTTTTATAATTATAATTCTTTATTACTATTATAATTATTATATTATAATAATTATTTTTATAAAAATACTGTTGTTAAAGTCATTTGTTAGAAATTTTCAAAATGCCTAAATTGTAAAATACCTTTTGCCTACCTTTAAATAACCACACAACTTGTAGGCATTTAATATACATACAAATGAGTTGTCATGGAAACCATTGTTAAACTTTTTATATTAATCAATTGTTTAGAATGAAACTCAAATGTCAACATCTGTTTTTAATTCTAAAATGAGTAATCATGCAAAAGAAGCTGAGTTAAAGGAAAGAACATTCCCTGGTATTTTAAAGTTGCGCCAAGAGATCCAAACACAACTTGATGAGTTTGTTACAAAACAATGGATGAAACGTAAAAAAGAAAATGCTTTCAAGTCGCTAAAGAAAAAAGCAAATGTCATTAAAGCTTTTATTAAACCTGGAAAAAGTACAACAGAAACTAGAGATATTGTGACTCGGGCTTTGCCTTCCATTTCTGTGTAGGTTTTTAAAAAAAAATTATAAAAGTGCACATTATTGATTTTCAAATATGTGTTATTGTATGTTTTAACAATTAAACTTAAAACAAAACAGCGCAATATACAACAGGTTCAAATAAAAATGACTTGTTTTGTATTTATTAGTTGTTGTTATCTATTTATATATTTTCTATTTATTTAGTGAACACAGCAACTATAGAGATGATGTTCAAAACAAAAAAAAAGTTCGCATAAATAATGAATCAATCAACTCTCCTGATGATTCAGAAGAAAATAAATTTTCTATGAAGAATCATGAAAGTAGGCTAACACATGATTTCAGCAAAGAAAATAAAGCAAATAATGAACTTTCAAATGAAATAAAAAATGATGTTTTATCATATTATGAAAGCAGCTCCAGTGATGATTTTGATGTTAGCCAGTCTTCTGACTGGGAATCAGATAGGTATATTTATATTACTAGTAATGGTATAAACACACACACATGTACACATAAGCACACATGCGTATACTCACTATGTAACAGTAGTTTTGCTTATTGAAATTTCCTGATCTAATAAAGTTTTTAGGTGCTGATGTCAAAAAAGTTTTTAGGTGCTGATGTCAAAAAAGTTTTTAGGTGCTAATGTCAAAAAAGTTTTTAGGTGCTGATGTCAAAAAAGTTTTTAGGTGCTGATATCAAAAAAGTTTTTAGGTGCTGAAAAAAAGAAGTCAATTTTAGCTAGCATAAGTTCTTTTTGAGATTTTTTATATTAACCAGTTGTAAAGCATAATTTAAAAAACAGTTCTGCATAATTTAAAAAACAGTTCTGCATATCGACTGCCAATAATCAAGTAAAAACAAGTACTGAACAAAAACAGATCAGCTTTTCAGGTTTAAAACATTTTACAAAAGTGCAACAATTTTTGTTAAAAGTCCTTGGAGGACTAAGATTAAGACCGTACATCTGCTATCATGGTTGCATACCATCAACCCTTATATCTTCATTTTATTGTTGCCTTGATTAGTAACCATGTTCTCTCTGACATTGCCTAAATTGTCTTTAAAAAAGTCAAAAGTTTTTGAAACTGTGGATGAGTTCATTTAACTGTTTTTATTTTTTATTTTTTTAATTACTGGCTTTACCTTGAAATCCTTTAACTACAGCATGAAAGGTGCACCATTATAAATTTTACTAATGTCATGTTCATTTTTAATTTTGATGTTTAGTATACAGAAATCAGACGCTAAAAGAACAGAAAAAAATGAAATCAGTGAACAGTTATATCCTGTTAGCAGTAATGATCAAACAGAGGTTTATTTTATTTATTTGCTAATAAATAACATTAATTATTAATTATTAATAAAATATTGTTAATAAATAACAATAACATGTTAAAATAAAATCTTTTTTTTTAATCTCTAGTATTTGGAAATTTTATTTTATGAATGTTTTTTATTTTTGAGTGTGAGGAGAAACACATTTCAACATGTAGTCCATATGTTTAGCATTTCGAAAAATAAGTAACAGTGACTTCTTGTATTATTGATATCTTTAATCATTATTGGTTCATTCTTGTCTATGATAGGTTGTACTGAATGCATGACCATAAAGTTGTCACATGCTTGGCTATAGTAGGTCTTTAATGGGCCAAAAATGTTACATCAAGGGGCTGGAGATGATGTGATGTTAGGGCAGCAGCCAAGCCATAGTAAAGTTTTTTTCTCTGCAATATAATATAGCCTCCAAAGTTGTGTGAGTTTTGTGGTTTTCAATAATCAATAGAACAGGAGATTCTTTGCTTGGTATTAAAAAGGTTTCATCGTTGCTCCAGCCATTATCATTATAGCTGTATACAGTTACTGGTGGGGCTCTTTCTATAATTTAGGAAACAATTAATTTTTTTGCAAAAATTAAAAACAGGTGGCAAAAATTAGTAGCGCCAATGCAACAAATTATTGTTACATTTCTTCCACTTTCTGCTGAAACAATTTTAGAAATCCTTTTAGATCCTGTAGGACTGAGAAACTGATAGCTTATTATGCACAGTAGACAGGTTGAAGGGAATTTATATTTTACCTGTTGCTCCCTTAAAATATTGAAAAAATTGTCTACACTTGGTTAATTGAAACCCATTGCTCTGGGAATCGATGTTGTTTCTGGTTTGCTTTCACTAAACTTATGTTTTTTTGTAAAATTAGCCAGCCTATCTTCTCCTGCCATCTTTGTATTCTTGTTGAAATGATATGAAATATTATATTCCTTAGCAAAGTTAAAAATTAATCTACTACACTGTTTCTTTTTTAATACAAAAAACATTTGTCCATTGCTGTTATGTAGAATTTTAAACTTTTCTGTGCAATATTATAGGTTTACTCAATTATATACTAGGTTCAAATTAGTATTTTTCTAAAAATCTGTTCAAATTTATCCTTGCATTATTAATTTTTTTTCAAGCAGCAATGAAGTGTAGCTTCATGTACATTAATCGCATTTGCAGGGCTATCTAATTTTTAAATTTTCTTGAACAGATGCCATAGCTTTTTTGCTCTATTCACTTTTTGAGATTTTCTTTTTATAATGTCTAACCATATCTGAAATATTATTATATATACAATACATCATTATTAAACAATTATGACTAATTTTTAATTAACTAAACAAATGAAACTTTAAACCATAAATAAAAAACTCATTTATTTTAAATAAATTGTTAAGCTTATTTGTATATTGTTTATAGTTAATTTTATATTTAAGAATTTTTATATTCTCTTATTTTATTTGTTCCCAACTGAACTCTTACAAATAGAATTTTCGTATTTATCTTTAATTGATTGCAATTCTCATTTATTTTAAATAAATTGTTAAGCTTATTTGTATATTGTTTATAGTTAATTTTATATTTAAGAATTTTTATATTCTCTTGTTTTATTTGTTCCCAACTGAACTCTTACAAATAGAATTTTCGTATTTATCTTTAATTGATTGCAATTCAGTTTTTTTTTTTTTTTTTTTTATGTAGTTTTCTTTTTTTTTTCTTTTTTTGCGTAGTTGCTCTCATTCTTAAATTGTTAAATATAAATTAAATTATAATTCTTAAATTATATTACTTAAATTATAATTCTTAAATTATATTACTTAAATTATAATTCTTAAATTATATTACTTAAATTATAATTCTTAAATATAATACTTCCACATTTCTTAAGATTTAACATTAATCTTTAATCCTTTTAATCCAATCAGTTTCGTTTTTGTTTTTTTTATGTTTTTTTTCAATCAGATCGTTTTAAGGCTAAAACAATGAAAATGTTTATTTAACTGTAGTTTGTATTAATTTTATAATAAATAAAAGTTAATAAAAAATTAAGTCACTTTAAAATTCTTGCGATCACTAATGATTTCTTGCATGCAAGAGTAATAATGCACAAACAAGCTGTCTGACAAATTTTATGAAATAAAATGTCATAAAACTTGCCTCCTAAAATTTCTCAAAGTTTTCGTGGCTTGGTTGACCAGTACAACGTTCTCCACTGGTCACTACACTGATCAAATGTATAATAGTTGTTTTTATAACAATTATCATCTCAACCATTATAAGAGTTAAAAATAGTTATTTAAACTTTTACATAAATATTGAAGAATTTCATCTATGTTATTTATGTATGTGTGTTATTATATGCATGTTTTATGTATATACATATATATATATATATATATATATATATATATATATATATATATATATATATATATATATATATATATATATATATATACATATATATATATTTGTTATTTTTATATACACGTTTTATTTTATATACACTTTTTTTTTTTTATATGCATGTTACTTTTTTGTACATTTTTCAATTGTATTTTTTATATTCATGTTAATCTTACATACTTACTTTTACAAACATGGCATTGATGTATACATTTTTTTAAATAATTTTTCAATATGTTTATCAAATTATCTATTTATGACAGTTTTAAAGATGAAATAAAACACAAATATTTACATTTTAAGCGCCAAAATAAAATTTTCAGATAAACAGTCTATTCTAAAAATAATGTTTGAATATAAAAACTATCATCATAGATGATACATCATCATAGATTATATTTTCAAAAAGACATTTTTTATAAAATTGTATTTGTAGGTCACCAGTATAGAATGAGTAAAGTTGCAATATATTCATATATGACAGGTTTTCCTGCTTGTTTTAAAAATCTTCTAAATATTTTAAAATTTTCCACTGAAAGGTTTTGTTTGAAAAATCGATATAATGTGTTAAAAAAGTTTACATACTTAATAAGGTTCCCCCCCCCCTCCACCCATCCTTCATTTGTACTCATAAGTTTCGTTTATGAGTATAAAAGAAATTTCATGACAAAAGAACAAATATACCATCAAGCAATTAAAAAAATGTGAAAGTATAAAATATATACTTTTTCAAAAAATAAAATAAAAAATTAGTTATTGTTATTTAATTATAATTTAGATTATCATTTGTTAACGTTTTGTTTTATCTTTGGCGTTGGGTAAATAATAATAAAGCTTATTCATAAAGTTATATTAATTATAGTGCGTTAATCTTTCTTTGCTTCATTTAAATGTCGTAAACATCGTAAATAAAAGTGCGCATTCTCGGAATGATTAAAGCACCTGTCTAAGTATCTTATTTAAAAAAAAAATCTTTATAGATTTGTTTTTAAATGTTTTTTTTATATAATCCTATGAGATCAAGGAACTTTGATTATGCATTTTTAAATTATGATAAATAAATTTATAATAATAAACAAGGTAATTTCTACTTTTTAATATAAAAATTTATTAATAATCAAAGACTCCATTTATGTCGTAAATACATTTAAAACGGCAGTGTGTAAATTTTTTTATTTTTAAAGAATTCTTTAATATTTTGTAGTTCACTCTGCTTTAATGAAAACCAGCATAACGAAACTGTTATAAAGTCATGAAATATGTTTTAATATGAAAATATAAAATGCATAATACAGTTTATATACCAGTTATATATATATATTAATAAAAATAACTGAAAATTGCTGAAAATAAAATACTGATATCTAGTAAAAATTTTTCCCACATATTTCATCAACCATTTAACAAATTGAATTATAAATTTATTTTTGAAGCTGTATTTATTTGTATGTGTGTGTGTGTATATATATATATATATATATATATATATATATATATATATATATATATATATATATATATATATATATATATATATATATATATTTATATCTTTAAAAATTTGTCAAACTTGTGCTGTTAAGAAATAGTTAATAAGACACATGTGTTCGCATGTAATTTTCTAGGAAAGGGTAGCCAAAAAAAAATTTTTTCAGCAAGAAGTATTTTTTTTAAAGGTATCATCCAATTTAATAAGAATTTTTTTTTATCAATCAGGAGGAATGTTCTATGTACACTGGTAATGTACAAACATGATAACATACACTTTTTTAAATTTAGATACCATACAATCCTAAAATGCGTCCTCCGAAAGGTGATAAGGTAATAAAAGGAATTATTTAATCTTGTTACTGCTTAGATGTGTTGAATTATAATCTTTGAGTGTATACCATTAAAGGTACGCGAACTAGCTGCAAGTCTAGAAGCTAGCTTGACACTTCGTGATCCTAACATAAAAATAGCAGGTGCAGTAGACACCATAAACGTACCAAAATCCAACCTAAAGAGGTCTGTGGCATTTAAAGAGGTAACTTTATACTCGTAATTAATAATTATATAATTATTATATATTATTATTTATATAATTTATAATAAAACTGTAAATGAGTTTATCAAATTTTCTTTTTAATTTTTTTTTTTTTTTTTCTTCTAAAAGGAGGATGACGAAGATAGTGATTTTTCTCTTGATGAATCTCCTGAACCAAGAAACGGTGTTGGGTAATCATTATACTGTATAATATTATTTTGATCAGAACCTTGTATTTTTTCATATTAGTTATTCAAATACACTTAATGATTTTATTTTTAGCGGCCAACAATACTTTGAAGATTACGACAAAGAGTTGGACGATATTTTATGTTTGTGTTTTTTTGTTATATTATTATTATTATTATTATTTTTACGATGGATGCCAATTGTTGTAAAATTTGTTCGGGATTCTAATCGCTTTCGCAAATTTTTTTTTATTTTTCATACAGCTGGTTTAAAACCGAAACCATCTTCTTCGTCTACTCCAGATAAAAAGTCAAGTAAGAACCATACCGAGGCAACCATGGTGACAGATTTCTTTGACGATAGCTTGTAACGTGCCGCTGACAATAGGAGTTAATTAAATTAATGTTTTTTGTGAGCCATTTAAATTTAAAAAATGATATAATTTTATTATTAGCTTATTGTATAAATAATCGCCGGATATTTAGTTCTTAAAAAGCAAAGTTTTTCTAACGATAAGTTTTATTACTGCTGAAAGTTTATAAAGTTTATCGTAAAATATCGTATTTTTTATATTTAAATTTCTATAACATAAATGTTTTAGAAAAGAAAATTAATATTATTTTAGTTTTTAAAAATTTTATCGATGGTTTTATCAAATATTTTATTGTCAAATTATTTAATATATATTGATTTTCCTATATATATACATATATATATATATTTTTTTTTTCGCACTGGGTAAATATATTTATAAAGTATAATTTTTAACAAAAGGTTCATAATTTTAACGAAAAGTTTGTATTTTAGTTTAAAAATAAACTGCAGTGAAACATAACTTTTTTAATTAAAAAAAATAACTCTGCTATATCCTTTAAATTTTTTTATTCAAGCAACAATGCTTGCGCCTGTCTTTTTCAAAATAAAACTGTAAACATTTACAACTCATAATTAAAGCATCTCATTAAGCATACGGAATCTTGCAAAAATTTAGAGTAAAAATACTTAATATTGATTGATTTCTATGAAAGTTCTTAAACTGACGAATACTTCATACTCTTTAATTTGATACATTTGACTTAATTTTATGGAGACATTCAGGTTTATACTTTTACAAATGAACATTTTGAATAATGCCTTTTTGAAAACAAATTTATGTATAGTTTCTTTAAATCACGTCTTAATAAGTTTGTAATGCTATTAAAATGAATTCTGAAAATTACTCACTTTTAAAGTTATTTCAACGTAAAACTTTATCAGATAATTTATTATTAAAAGATATAGTTTTGCAAAAACAATATTTCTCTGCAAAAGTAATCAGGTGTTTGTTAATCTAGCAAAATTTAAAAAGCATAAGTTTCTTTTTAATTAATAAATAAGATCTGGTCCTTTTTTTCTAAATATTTTACTTTTACGTCACAGCATAAAATGTTTGCTTTTCTAGATTTGAACTCTTTTGAAGTTTAATAATATTTAATTAAAGGTGCATCCTGATTAACTTATAATGGGGTTACGTAATTGGTAGCAATTTTACTTTTCTCTCGACAATAAAGATAACTAATAATAATGACAACAATAGTTTAGCAATCTGTCTTGTTTACATAAAAATGAGTCCTGAATCAATTCGCGAGTCTGTATTGTGCTCTCAAATAAGTAAACTTAATTTTATATTGCGTCATCAACTTGTTCGGGTTGATAGTCGAGATAATAACGGAAGAACGTCGTTGCATTTAGCTATAATTTACTCAAACATACCTGCAGTGAAGCTTTTGATAAAATATGGAATAAATCTAGATTTTCAAGACAATGAAGGTAAAACAGCACTCCACTTAGCAATTCAACATAGCAATATACAAGCAATTAAGGTTTTGTTAGCCCACGGTGTAAAAATAAACGTAAAAGATTTATTAGGCTTTACCCCCCTTCATCTTGCATTGCATTCAAACAACTATTTATCCAACAAAGAAGCAGTATTTTTGTTAGTTGCAAACGGTGCCAATGTAAATACAGCAAACTCAGCCAAAAAAACTCCTTTGCATACAGCAGTTAGTAGTTTTAACAGATACGCAGTAGCGTTACTCTTAAAGGCTGGCGCTAATGTAAACGTTAAAGACGAAACCAAATCAACAGTTCTTCATTATGCTGTGAATCAAAACGACTTAAATTTTGTACAGTTTTTTTTGATAAATGGAGTAAACGATTCAATTGTAAATGCATACGGAAAAACAGCTTTGGAAATGGCTCAAAATGTTTCTGATTGGCGAATTGCTGCTATTTTGAAAAGTTACAAAACATCTAAACTTGATCAGAAATTACAATTACAAGATAATTAAACTATTAAAATTAACGTAAGAGGATAAAATGGATAACTGTAAAAAAATATTTTAGAAGTACCTTTTTTTTGCTGAATGTATAAATGATGATTTGAAATACACATAAGAATTCATTTGTTTCAATTTCATTATTTTTTTTATATAATCTTAATAGTTTAGTTCTCGATGAGAATTAAAAACAAAGATAGAGTTCTTTTTTAAATGTCAAGGGTAACCTTAGTCAATATTTTATCGTGTTTGAGAAAAAAAGTAATAAAGATTTGATTGCTAAAAGCATTTTTTAATTCATTTGTTTTAAATTAATGGGTATTAAATGTAGTTTAAACTACATATGAATATACTGATATTATTTGTAGAATGTCACAATATAGTAATTAAAAACACAACATTAGTCCTTTGTGTTTCTTTATGTTTTGTTGATAAGATATTAATTATTTTTCTAGAAATTTCAATTTCAGAACACTCTCTGAAAGTCTTTGAATTTATTGAATGAAATATATAAATTGCACCTCCATCTAACTACTTTGTAATGATAACTTCAGGAATAATATGTTGAATACTCATCGAGACATTTAAGATAATTCGTCTTATTAGTTTTTAGAAGTTTACGTATTCAGATACTGCTGAGGGATAAAAATGATTTTCATGTCAAAAACTCTTCATCCCTATGTTGAGATGCAAAATAAAGAGATGCAAACATTTTGCATTCTTCTTTGAGCATTATTGTTTTTAATCTTCCGCTTTAAGTAGCAAGGATTTTTTTTTCTAAACAGATTTTAATTTATTTTGGGTGATTGAGGGTGATAAATTCAATCTCTTCCAGTTGTTAAACTATTCTGAATATAATAATCTGATGACTCAATACCCATTTGATTAGTTTTTTTTGACGGATGCGTCAAATAATATCTTTGTTTATAAATTTATGAGAATTTTCAAAAACTTTTTAAACTTAAATAAAATAATTATAATTCTTTTCATAGGCGGGTGTATCTTTGTGATTCAAAAGAGAGTGATCTAAAGAAAACATTCAAGGAACAAATTAATCCAAGGCACTGACAAACATGTTTAAATTTCCTATTCTGAAGCTCTTAACAAGCAATAGGTCTATTGTTTTTGACTCTATAGCAGTACACCAATAATTGGGTGTATTCTGTTCTTTGTTGTTGGGTCTATTGGTCATATTTTTTGGAATGCTTCAGTCAGTAGTGAATATAAACCAGCTAATAAAACTTAGACTCAATACTTTGATTGCAAATAATGGACTCTAGGTATTGAGTCCAAATGCAATTGGTTTTGTTAACTTTGCTGATTGATTCCTTTCATTCAACTTTTTTTGAAATAAGTATTCTTGATATATGTGAGCTTAATGTGAGATTAATGTGAGATATATGTGAGATTAATGCTTTATATACTTGTGGAAAAACGATATATTTTTATCCATCTTTTAAGATTTCTTTTTGTGAAACAATAAATTAAATGCACAATTTGAAATAATAACTTTACATATAAACCCTTTTGTCAAACCAAGTTTAATCAGTTTTGTATTATATTTTGTGCGCCGTATCTTTAGAATATTGTTTTGTTCATCTAATACTTCTTCCATTTTCAAATATAAGCTGGAAATTTTTTATGCTCTTTATGGATTGATGTAACTTAATTTTTATTAGTAATAAAAAACTTTTGTTTAGAACTTTCTTTTAGTAGTAAAATACGTACGTATAACGTTAAGTTATACTTGTTAATTATGTATGTTATTCAGGCTCAGGTATGCGCAATCTTATTTGCTGATTTTGAATGAGAGGCATATAATTATCGTGCGCCTTGAAAAAAATGAATTAAAAAATAAATAAATAAAAGAATTCTATACTTTTTTTGCATAATCGTGGTGGTCAATTTTGCTTGTTTGCTTTAAAAGATCTATAAGAGATCGTCCATAAATTACGCAATGCTAAATTTATTTAAAAAGCAGAAGTAGAAGATTTTAGACTTTTTTACGCGGCGATTTTCATATACCGTAACACGGGGTTACTTTGTGCCTTAAGTTCCTACTTTGTTCCACCACTGAAAATTTAAGTTTCATGCTTCTCCTGTTCAAACGTCCTAAAAGTGGCGCGTTCTTTGCTATTTTTTAATTTATATGTGGCAAATACTGTCAAGAAACCATATTGCCTTTGCCGCACACTAAATAATACATCTGTTAATTGGATGTCAAAAAGTAACTGAACTTGTTTGTAAAATTTACTGTGCAGAACTTCTACGTGGTTTGCTTTTGTAGTACACACTACAGAAAAAAAAATCACTGAGTTTGTTAGACTAACACTTTGGTAAAAAGATTTGAGTATTTTTTTTACTGTTTTTTTATTCAGTTTTGAGAAAAAAATAACTTATCTTATTTGAGTGAGTTTTTATTTAAAAATGGGGTTACTTTAGGCCGGACTTAAAGTAACACCACATCATAAATAAAATCCAATCATTTTATTTACATTAAATGGACATATCATATGGTTTATTTCTTAATTTTATTTATTATTGCTATTGTTATTATTATTATTATTATCATTGTTATTATAACAAATATGATAAATTAAAGTTATTAATAGATATATTATTATTATTATTATGAAATTATATATAAAATATTTATATATTATTGATTTTATTTTTTGTTTCTTTAGTTGTTGTTTGTCTGTTGTTATTTTTATATTGTTTATTATATTAATTAGTCTTGTACTACTTGTCCCCTCACAAAAGTCTCTTTTCATAGTCTCTTCAAAAAGGTTTCTTTGCATTTCTTCTTTATAAAAGTAGTCTCTTCACAAAAGTCTCTTTCATAGTCTCTTCAAAAAGGTTTCTTTGCATTTCTTCTTTATAAAAGTATTGTATTAATTTTACTATGTTGTAAACTATTTTCTTTTAATAGTAAAATATTGATTGATTTATATTCTAGCTAATAAAAATGCCAAGAATGTATACTAGAAGACCAGGCTCCAGAAAATATGTGGACTATTCTCCAAAAAAGCTCCAACAGTGCCTTTCTGCTATTAATGAAGGTCGAATGAGCCAGAGAGAAGCATCAAAACATTTTGAAATATGTAGAAATACCATACAAAACAAACTGAAGCTAAAGCACAATCAAAACCCAGGGCATCCTACAATATTTACTGCTTCGGAAGAATCAGCTTTTGTTGCTCACATCGTGGCAGTGTCTGAGTTTGGATTCCCTTTGGATGAATTGGATTTTAGGTTTATTGTAAAGGATTACCTCACTTCGCAAAATAAAACTATTCCACAGTTTAGAAATAATTTTCCAGGACTAGAATGGAGTAAAATATTTTTAAAAAGACATCCTATGCTTACTTTGCGCTTGGCAGCCAATATAAAACGCTATCGGGCTGCAATTAATGAAAAAACCTTAAGTGAGTATATTGAAAACCTCGCCCAAGTTGTTACAAATGTGCCAGCAGAAAATATATACAACTACGATGAAACAAACCTAAGTGATGACCCAGGACGCAAAAAAATTATATGTCGTAGAGGCTGTAAATACCCTGAAAGAGTAATAAACTCATCAAAGTCCAATATTTCAGTCATGTTTTGTGGCAATGCTGCTGGAGGTACAATACCACCTTATGTTGTCTACAAATCAGAACATCTGTGGTCCACATGGACTGAAAACGGTCCCCATGGAACTAGGTACAGTCGCACAAAACATGGATGGTTAGATAATGCTACATTCGAGGAGTGGTTTACTGCTCACCTGCTTCCTATACTGAAAAAACAGACCGGAAAAAAAGTTCTTATTGGGGATAATTTGTCATCGCACATTAGTCAGAATGTTTTAAAACTGTGTAAAGAAAATAACATAGTATTTGTTTGTTTACCACCTAACTCATCGCATTTGACACAACCTCTAGATGTTGCCTATTTTAGGCCACTAAAAAATAAGTGGAAAATTGTTTTAACTTTGTGGAAAGAATCACCTGTAGGTAAAAAATCTACAACACTTCCAAAAGGACACTTTCCATCACTTTTAAAAAAAGTGCTGGAATTAATAAAAGACACTTCTAGTGAAAATTTGATATCAGGTTTTGCTAAGTGTGGAATTTTTCCCTGTGATAAAGAACCTCTTATTAATCGCCTACCACTGCAGGATCGATCATCTGCTGATCTAAGTCTTATTTCTAAAGCATTTATCAGTCATTTGAATGACAATCGTGCAGACCTTGGACCTTCAATGTTAAAGCGCAAAAAAAAACTAAATGTTCCACCAGGAAAAGGAATCTGTCCTGACTCAGAAGAATCAGATGTTATACCAGTCAAAAATACTGTAAAAGTGTCCCAGAAACGAAAAAAAGTTAAATGTGTTATCTCTAGTGCAACATCTAACAGTGAATATAGGTGTAAGCTACGTGCATTTAAATCTGACTGAAACAATTATTATTAAACATTATATGTTTATATAGAGTAGATGCCTACCTACTTGTTATTTAGTTATTGTTTATTGTTATTACAGAACAAAAAAAATATTTGATACAATATACAAAGTTTTTTCCTTTTTTTTTTTTGTCTTTATATAGATCAAAGGCCATTTGTTTTAACAATTTCGAGATATTTCCTAAAGTAAATATTAAGTTAGTATTTGTTTTAAGATTATGAAAGTAATTATTTAAGTAATTTGAATGTTAATAAAACAAAACAGCACACCAAGTATACATGGCCTAAAGAAACACCAACCCAGGGTAACATTAGGCCACTTTTTGGAAAACTAAAAACTATATCTGTTTTTAATCTATTTTATAAATTAAATAGCTCGAATTAAAGGTTAATACCTTTATTAATAATTTGAATAAAAAAAAGATTGAAAAAATATTTTGAATAGACCAAAATTGATCGTTAAAACCAAAAATCGCAATAAAGTGGATTGAAGTAACCCCATGTTACGGTAACCTAATGGGCTGTTTTGTATTTTTATTTAACTTAAGGCTCTGCGAGGGAAAACTTTAATTTATGAATGATCGCTAGCTGGAGTATTAACAATTAAAATTATAGTCAATTTAAATACTTAATGATTTTTGGTATAGTTAATACGACCAATG